TTCCTGATGCCATAAACTGGGAGAGATAGTGGAGAATGATTGACCATTGAGGAAAATTTGGTTTACATATAGTAGTTCCCACCATTTGCAGTGCTGTATACCGGGGAATACAGAAGAGTCTAAGGATTCAACTACGAACCTGGTTTTTCTGTATTAGGATCGTTTCCATAAATGCTTCATAATCTCCAAATACCAATTTTGTATATTATAGCTTTGTTCAGGGATAATAGCTTGCAAAGATCGGCACGTTGTAATTAAGACAGTTTTAATAATTTACATAGAAAGATTTTTTTTTTTAAGGAAGGAGACATGTAGTAATTTGACAAGATTCCTGGCAAAGCATAATTCTGTTTACATTTTCCGTGTGAACAGACAAGGCACTAGAGAGCTGTTCATGGCAGATGTTAGTACCTGGGCATTTTAATTGGAATTAAAAGGTTATGTCCATGGCAATCCGTAGTATAGCATAGTGCTTTTGAAGGCTTTCTCACTTTTCTAGGCAATTCCACCAACCAAGTGTTTGTTAAGCTTTACTTTCTGTAGGCCTTTAAAAAAAATACAAAAATACATAGTATATTCTTTTTCAAAATACACCCTTTTCGCCCCTTGAATAATAAAAGCTTATATTTATTGAGCACTTACTGTGTCACAGTTACTGTGTTAGGCGCTATACTTTTTTGTACAGGTATTGATCGACTTACGACCTATGCAACTTAACGACCATTCGACTTTACGACCACAATTGCTAGCCACGACTGCTCTGCGTCTGGCAGCGCAAACGTTGCCCAGCTGGGCATACGACAGTGTGGGACAATACATATAGCACATAAACATATATGCTATATCATATCCGTAGTCATTTTCTTGCCTTTCTTATTAAAATGTGAGTGGTTTATATCCCTATATCTTTAACAATATTAGAACATACTAAATTTAAATTATATTTGAACAAGTTATCCAGATGACATCTTTTATGATGAATGCTACATATTTGTATCCCATGGAAAGTCACATAAAATTGTGATGATTTACTTTTCTATTTACAACGATAATAAATAAATACCTGGCAACTAGTCCTTTTTATCCCTAAGACAACATAGTTGGTACTCTTCTGCTTTTCAAAACTCATCATGTGCCGTGGTTTTTCACTTCAAACCATAGACCACCGTGGTTCAGTGATCTGTGAATATTCCACAGTTTTACACAAGGCTGCGCCTTTACCACAAGTTAAGGTGGCTTTTTAAAAATGAGATTTGACAAGAATGCTTTCATAATAAGCATTCAGATCAACCTTTACTACTGGTAATGCAGTGTTTTACTTAAACCTGATGAATGTAAAAATAAGAAACAAAATGGTGTGGAGATGATACAAATGGCGTAAAATGAACAAAGAAAATTATGATATACAACAATAATGAAAGAAAATTATGATAAAATATGACTTAAAGATTTTTATAACATCATTTCACAGTACTGTACATATAGCCTACTCAACTTACAACCAAATCGTGTTATGGCTGGTCTGTTGGAACCAATCGTGATCGTAAGCCGAGCACTAGCTGTAATTTTTTTTTTTTTTTTTAAGATGGAGTCTCTCTGTTGCCCAGGTTAGAGTGCAGTGGCGCCATCTCAGCTCACTGCAACCTCCACCTCCCAGGTTTAAGTGATTCTCCTGCCTTAGCCTCCTGAATAGCTGGGACTAGAGGTCAGCCCCACCATGCCTGTCCAATTTTCGTATTTTTGTATTGATGGGGCTTTTCACCATGTTGACCAGGCTGGTCTCAAACTCCTGGGCTCAAGTGATCTATCTGTCTTGGCCACCCATAGTACTGGGATTACGGGCATGAGCCACTGCAATGGGCTGCATAATGTCTG